TTATGATCAGTGTAAATCTGATTTCCAAATGGGAAATCATGATATGTTATAACTATAAGTAACTTAATTAGTACATTTGAAACATCATGGCAAACAGCCATTAATTATGTTATCACTGCATAATATATGACAAACATCACATAATTACTACTAACACTTGTCAATGGGAAATATATCATAAGCTTACATACTGTATAACAGAGTCATTAAACAGAACCTAATCAGTCTTACTTTTCTGCTTTTGATTTTGAGAAGACAGGCATTTAGGACACATTGCAGTGTGCAATAGGGAACGTTTTGTTTCATTCTAACTGCCAAGGGATCTCTAACAGTAACAGTGACCCACAATATCAGATGACAGTTAAGGATGTAAATAAGTCAAAATTTCAATGAACACAAGTCAAAGAAGAATTTTGTTAGATCATGAATGGATAGTGTAAAACCCTGCAGAAAAATCAAGAAATAAAACATCCAGATCTTAATATAGATCTGAAGATATAGTGAGTAAATACCACACCCTCAGATGAAACTGGTTTATTAAGGTCAGAAGTAGACAATTACTTAATTAGATACAGTAGCATATCACTGACAACTCATTAAACAAACACCAAGCTAAAGAAATTTACTCTTACACCACACCTATTTAACTTTCAACTCTTTTAAACTAGAGTTTTACACCCTTTTAAATGCTAATGACGACAGACAATTTCATGGAGTTCTTCATTTCAAATCAGTCTGAAATAAATATTTCAAGACAGGAACCACTCATGTGCACTTAATCGTGCTAATAACGAGAAATCTCAAGCATTGTGCAATGAGGGAAATTTTGACAAGAAATCTCTTCAAGAGAACAAACCAGAGAATCAGAGTGTTTTCTTGTCCTGATTTGAATTCAAATCCTTTTAAACAATATAGTTCACCATCAACTGAGCTAGTAGTTCACCATCAACTGAGCTAGTAGTTCACCATCAACTGAGCTAGTAGTTCACCATCAACTGAGCTAGTAGTTCACCATCAACTGAGCTAATAGTTCACCATCAACTGAGCTAGACATGTGGCTACCAAAAAAAAAAGTTAATTGGAAACTTCATCTAAAACAAGCCTTGTAGCTACTATTAGATAATAAGTCTTTATTGAAATATTAATAGTCTTAAAAATATATATTTTTACAAAAATTTGAATTATGTTTGTATATCCTTGATATTTTTAAACTATATAGGAGTCTCCTTGTGATTAGTTTAAGAGCAAATCCAACCAATTCAATAGCCAATTTGAAAACAAACTCAGTTTGAAGTCTTCAGTTCCACAACTTTTATCAGAAGTAGTTAAAAGGTAATGGACATTGCTATCAAATCAAAGTATAATTTAATGGAAGTAGACACTAATCCCATAAGAAGACAAGAAACTAACAGATCTACTATAGTACTAATTGACTGATGGAACTGGAATCAAAAATAACTATTCTTTCAATTCCAGTAATATTTAGTCAAGTTTTAGCGATGTGGTAAAATGATGGAAATAATCGATTATCTTCGCTAGGAATTTAGATTATCCAATTTCATAATCAACTTTCAATTTCTCCACTATACCTGTTAACAAGTGGTAATACCTTCCACACAGTTTCACTTCAGCACATAACATACCCACAATAAACTATAATAACTGATCAAAACAAGAATATACTTTTATGACGCAAAAATAACCCAAGAAATTAAGAATTTTGACATGCTTTACATGG